ACCCTGACAGAGATGGAGGGAGACAGATACAATTCAGACAGACGGCGGGAAAAAATGGAGTGCAGGGCAGAGAGGGAAAAAAGACACAGATAGCATAGGCAGCCTGCCCAGGGACACACAGCATCAGTGGGTACTCCTGACTGGGGAGCGCTGAGTTCACCTCTCCTTCGACAGACAGGGGAGCTTTCCCCCACCCTCTACCCGGAGCCCACAGACCTTTGATCTGTCCTCACTGCCACCCACCAGCAGAGCTGAGGCCTGTAGTGGGCTTGGAGCTAGCCTGCCCCAGCCCTCGCTTGGCCCTACTACCTGCCTTCTGGGGTCCTGGACCCTGGTTGGCCCCTGTGACCTGGCTGCTCTTCTATACCTGAGGTGACCACAGCCCTGCCCCATGTTCAGTGAGTCCTCACACAGAGGTGCTCAGTAGACAGGGCTCCCACAGGTCCCCATGCTCAGGGACAGGTGGGGTGGGGGGCTCACCAGCCATGGGACTGTGGCCAGAGGGGCTCGAGGGGGCACCCAGAGGAACCAGGTCCACCGGGCACCTCCGTCGCCTCGTCCAGGAAACCAGGGCTGTTGTCAGGTGTTTACTGCTTGGTAAACATTTTGATGGTTCATTCATGAAACCTGCCTTTCCTGAGGCCTCCTGCAGTACAGAGTGGAGCAAAGAATTTAAAGAGAGCTGCGCATGTGGTCCCTGAACAGCTCCAAGCACGTGGCTCCCAGGAGGCCGTGTCTGCACTCAGAGCAGGAGTCCCCATCCCCGTCCCGCAGGTCACAGAGGGGGAGAGGGACGTACTGCACAGGGAGGTGAAGTGGAGTCACCTCAATATATACAAACACACACAGTCGATGGATGGGGATAACAGTTCAGACTTTTCAAAGCACATAGTAGGTGCACAAAAAATATTTGTTGAATGAATGAATGACATTTCATTCACAGATATGCCTTGGTTTCCAGAATGACCCTGTGGTTTGGAGGGTAGCTGCTGTATCTCTATTTTCTATATGGGAAACAAAGGCTCAGAGAGGTTAGGCAGCCTGCCCAGGGACACACAGCATCAGTGGGTACTCCTGACTGGGGAGGGCTGAGTTCACCTCTCCTTCGACAGACAGGGGAGCTTTCCCCCACCCTCTACCCGGAGCCCACAGACCTTTGATCATGCCAGGGCTGCCTCTGAGTCTCCACTCACCCTTTATTTCTTGCACCCCATACTGTACACTAGGCTTCCTGTTTTACACCTATCATCTCATCTCAGTTTTACAATGGCCCCATCTTATTAATTGTTCAGAGAGGTTTAGTGACTTGCCCAAGGTCACACAAGAAGTGGAAAGGACAGGACTTGGGCTTTGATTTTTTTTTCTCATTGCACCAGACAAGGTGACTCGCCCCCTACCCTCCCTTGGGTTGGCAAGGTGTTCTTTCCAGAATAACTGCCAAGATCCCCCTCCCTGCCTGCCCCAAACCATGATCAACTCTCCTTTGGAACTGGCCATCCAATCAGAGGTTCCCAGGCTTCCCTGTTTATATCAGCAGTAAATATGAAGCGGGGGAGAGAGAAAAGCCAGCCCACCATGGAGAGAGGGAGCAAACGCAGGAGGGATGGGGTAAGAGAGGCCAGCTGCAGAGAGAGAAGGGTCGAGACAGCAGAGAGTCACACAGAGAGGGGTGAACAAAAGCCAAGGAGTACGAGACACCGAGGGGATAACAGAGGCAGCAAAACACATAAAAAAAGAAACACAAAACACATACACGTGTGTGCACACGAACACACACGGACGAGAAAGAGAAGCTTTGGGAACGGCTCTGAAAATGAATGTGATGGAGGCACCCACCCAGGGAGTGAGAAACACATACACACACCGCGCAGAGCCCCGACGCAAACCCTGACAGAGATGGAGGGAGACAGATACAATTCAGACAGATGGCGGGAAAAAATGGAGTGCAGGGCAGAGAGGGAAAAAAGACACAGATAGCAAGACAGAAAAAAGATAGGGAGAGATTAATATACACACGAATGGGGAGAGGAAGCAGAGAAGCCACAGATGCCGGAGCGTCAGGGCTGGGAGCTCGCACCTTCCCCTCCCCACCCCCTGCTCCGCTCCACCACCTCCTGACTCTGCTCACAGCAGCCTGAAATGTAAGCCCCGAGTGGAGAAGTTAATTCTCCCAAGTCCAGCCGTCAAGACACACTCTGCATTCCACCCGCGTGCCCTTAGCGACACAGAGGCGGAGGGGGATGCATCTGCACCTAGCACAGGTTTCTTCTCCTCTTGTCTTACGTTTGAACCAGATGCCCTGATGGAAGGAGAGAGACCTGCCCAGCATTTGATCATCAAGCCCACGCCCAGAGCCACTTAGGCAGTTAATCTCTGAGCCATGAGTGGCTAGAGGTGGGCACAACCTGAAGCCTCTCAAGCACCCGCGGGGTGCCCACCAGGGACAAGATGAAGCCCCTGCACTAGGGACCCCCACATGGGAGGTGACAGTCCTGGGTCCACATGTCCCTTACTTGCTCCTGCCTGTGATGAGTCTCCTGACACCTCTAAGCCTCCACGTCCACCTCTGTGAAATGGGATCGTCGTATTCCTGCAGCCGGGTAAGCTGAGTTGGAGGAGAGTTGCTGACTGCTCTTCAGGGGTGAAAGGAAATGAAGAAAAGAAATTTGTCTCATCCAGGGGAAGACCCCAAAGCTCATCCCCAGGAGGTCTTCCTGCCTGGCATTTTACAAGGCAGTGGGCCTCTTGGAGGCAGGGAGCCGAGGTCAAAAGTACATCAGACATCCCTCCGCTGGCCAGTTCTCTCTTTGCCACTATTGTGGCTCTGGAGAAAATATTGGAAAGGCAGCGCTAATTTAATTTTCCAGAATGAATAAAGATAAGACAGTGATTCAGGGTGATGAAGGGCTGGGAGCCCATAATTCACACGCCTGATAGCCCACGTTGGAGCTGATTAAGCCAGGACAGCCTCCGTTTATTGTCTCTGTTGCTGAGGAAGGCTGGCTTCCCCGGCAGGGCAGTAGGCGTGAAAGGCTTGTAAATGGGCAAATGAGTTTAAGGGGAGGAAGGAGCAGAGATCTATGGATCTTTCTAGTGCCCATGGCCACCAGAATGTGGGGAGAGAGCGCTCAGATTATCCATTCATGATCACGCAGCATTCATTCACTCATTCATCATCATTTTACCAAGCAGCCCCCTGGGCCTGGAGTGGGGCATAGGTGGAGGGTGTTTTGGGGTCCATCATTAAATCCAAAGGCCATCTGGCCAGGCTGCATCAGGAACACCTGGGCACTGGGATTAGCTGTGTCCATGAGGGCACGTGCATCACTGCACATGGGAATCTGTGTCATCAGTGAAACAGGAGTGCATTCTCAATGCCCGTGGGCAGGGCTTGTTGGTGTGGGGACTCCTAGATATACACAGGGCTCCCTCATCAGCATATGCAGGGCTCCAACATGCTCTGCTGCTTACTAGCTGTGTGGACTGGGGGGAGCTTATTACTTCTCTAAGCCTCAATGACTTTGTCTGTAGAGTAAGGATAGTCATAGTACTCACTTTACAGAGTTCTGAGAGTTTACAGAGAACTAAGAGAGTGCCTGAAAGAGCCCAGCTCAGCACCCGGCCCACAGGAAGGGCTCCATGATCATGAGTTATGATCCATGTTATTTCATGATGATCGTGTGAATTCTCCTTCCTGGGTGCGCGTGGAAGGTGGACCCACTGAGATGGTTCATGCGCTTCGTGGAGAGTTGCTCTTATGGCCATAGGGGAGACCGTCCTGTCACATCCCAGGTGCTCTTTCTTCCTCCTTTGTGGCTGAGACCATGAGGGCTTGGCGCTTAGCTGGGGGGGAAGGAAAGAAGGTGGAGAGCCAGCCGCTCCTCCAGGGCCAGGAAATTTGGACTTTATGGAAAGCTGGCAGTCTGCTTTGCTGAAATTGAAGGCAATTTGCAGCAACACAAAAGGGTGCATTAGAGAGGGAGGGTCGGGAGCCCCAGCAATGGAAGACTGGAGGCTGGAAAAGAAGGGAATGAAACTGGTCCGGAGAAGAGCAATTTAAAATACAACCAAAGCACGAACACATCTGCCAGGGACCAGGGTTTCCATTCACATGGAATGAATGACCCACAAGGCAGGTGCCTTGTCTGGCTGGTGGAGCAGGGGAGGGAAATCCCCACAGGGGCCAAGCCTCGGTGGGCTGGGCTTTCATTTCCGTTGTTGTGCAGTCTAAAGTAGGAACCATTGGACCTTCTTGTAATGCTTTGTGCTTGGAGCTGGGGCGCGGATTGGTGTGAAGACTCTTGGGGTTCAGGATGGAGTGGAGAGGGCAGAGCTGAGTCATGGTAAATGACAGGAGAGCTCTAGTGGGAAGGAGGGAGAGGGCAGGGCTGAGTCACAGTCAATGACAGGAGGGTTGTAGTGGGAAAGTGGGGGGAATTGGCAGCTCCAAGTCATGGTAGCCTGGACCTCAGGCCTCTCTCGGGCTCTCTCCTGAGCTCCCTGAACTCCCAGGGGCCCAGGCCATCCTGGATTGCAGAAATGTAGTAGAACCCTTCATCCAGGTCTCAGGGACTCCAAGAGAATTGAGAATTGAGGCTAGGAACAGCCCTTGAGTTAATCCACCACAGTGACTATAGTCAGAGAGGTCTGGGGCAGCAAGGGAAGAGGGGCTGGGGGAGTTACTGTACAAGCTCACACAGTAAGTCAGGGCCTAAGCTGGACACAACCCCAGGCAGCCGCAAAGAATAAATAACTCTTTCTCTCCCACCACCTCTGTCCCCTGGCCAGGCCGTCATGCCTCTGGACAACATGGTAGCCCAGGTCCAACTCTTAAGCTGTTTGTGGCCACTGCAGCCGAGTGTACTATCTCCGGGAGCACCTGTTAAAGCTCACACTGCCTGGAAGGGGTGAACCAGCCTCTCTCCCATCAGCCCAGTTGCATGGACTCCTCTCAGACCAGGCAGAGATGCTGCAGCAATGGTGAGTGAGCCCAGCAGGGGGCCTGGAAACAGAGCAAGCCCAGGAGGGCGCTGGACAGCAGCACCAGGGTGAGGGGTGGGAGCCTGAGTGCTGACAGGCACAGGAGGGAGAGAGGGGCGGGGTGCTCCGGAAACGCTGTGTCCCAGGGGCCACTCTCTGCAGGGAAGAGCCCCTGGGTGTGGAGTGAGTGGAGGGAATTGGACCCTCCTCCAAGCACAGGGCTCCATGGCCCCAGGCAGCCAGTGACCTCACTGCTCTGAGCCAGGGATGGGGATATGAATGCCTCCTCCCAGGACTGCAGTGGGGAGTGACATAACCTTTAACAGGTAACATGCTCAGCCCAGCGCCTGATGGACAGGCTCCCTCCCAGCCCCTGGTCAGGACACCCCAGGGGTCAGGATTGTGGGCTCCACAGTCCCACATCTGGGACTTGCGTCCCGCTTCACTGCCTGCTGGATGTGTGACCCGGGGCAGGTTCCTCCCCTTCCCTTAGCCTCAGTTTCCTCTTCTATGAAATGATGCACCTCCCTCCGAGTCTTGGTTATTCCTTGTGAAGTGTCTGACACAGGCACAAAAGACTCACCTGATCAAAGGCAGCAGGCGTCACCCTGAGCTGGGAGTCTGGAGGGGCCTTTGAGACAGTGAAGTCTGGACCCGTGGAGGGGTTGTCATCGTTCCCGCAGTTCTCATTCGCTCTGCCTGTCCCTTCCAGAATCCCACATGTTTCAGCCATTTTCTGTGGCTGAAACAGAACATCGCAGGCTGGGTAATTTATCCACAATAGAGGTTTATTTGGTTCATGGTTCTGGAGGCTGTGGAGTCCAAGATCGAGAGGCTGCACTAGGTGAGCGCCTTTCTGCCATGTCATAACATGGCACAGGGCATCACATGGCGAGAGAGTGCATGGGAGAGGGCAAGAAGGGGCTTACCTTGTTTTCATAGCAGACCCGCTCCCACCATAATGACATGAATTCATTTCACATTAATCCATCAATCAATTAAAGATCCCACATCTCCACACTGGTGCATGAGGGATTACGTTTCTAACACAAAGAACTTTGGGAAACACACTCAAGCCATAGCACGGTCCTCCGCTGTCCCTCTCCCACCCTCGCCATCTCAGGTCTCTCTGTCGGGCTTTGACAGAGTAGGTCTGGCCTGAACTCAGTCTGCAGAAATAGATTCTCCATGTGCATGAAAATTGCCCATTTACTTTGAGAATCCCACAGAAATCATTCTTCTCCTCCACCTGTTAACGATGGGACACTGGCATGAGGGCATTCTTCCCTTCTGCCTTTATGAGCAAATAATGTGATAAGAGGCTCATCGCTGACTCTTTGACAAAATGCAGCATTTCCTTTTAAGCTACATTATGTTAAGAGCAGAATTTCCTCTCTACTAGCTGATAACCTTTTCTGTTTCTTTTCTTTTAAATGAGAGCATCTCTTGTTCATTCTTGTGGAAGATCTGTTAAGGCAGATAAATCGAGAGAAGTCATGAACTCCTGGAAAGATATAGCTCTTTAAAAAGAATTCATTTGCAGCATGAAATCTACCGAGTGAGTGTGTAAACCATGGAGTCATTACAATGTGGTGGAATTGCTTTGATTTAAATTGAGTTGTGGCTCTGTCTCTAAGTACCTGCTCCTGTGTCTGTTTCAAGGTGGGATACTCAGAGAAGCACGCACACCTGGCTGGGTCTGTCAGCCCTGCCTTGGCCCCGTGTGGTAATCAGGTAAACTCCCACCTGTGCCTTCTCACCTGGACAGCAGGGGAGGCTGAGGGAGGCCTCAATTCTGAATGCTCCCCGAATTCCCCATCTGCTTGAGCCCAGACCCTACTCTGGTCAACTCTGTCCGTAATAAAGTAACCAACCATTTCTAGTTGGCAGGGACTGAGGTCATTCCTGGTATGAGGCACTTCCAGCGCTGAAACCAGGGAAGTTCCAGGCCACGAGGGTGAGTTGGTCACCCTGTTCTTTGGGGTTCCTTACATTATCGCCATTGAGCTAAGACCTGTGAGGAGAGGCAGGCGAGGCCACTGTGCCCTGCCCTGAGGGACCAGCCATGGTGCTGGTGTTCGCTGATGTGCACAGGAGAAGAGCAGGGCTCTTCAGGGAGGCATGGTTGGAGAAGGTGACAGAGCCTCACAGCTGGGTTCATGGAGCTCTGTCCTCTTTCTGCACTGTCTCATTTACTCCTCACAGCCAGTGTCAGGTGACAACACTGAGGCTCAGCTTGGAGGCATCACAGTGACTTGTACCAGTCATCACAGTGCGGTGGCATTGTTTTGCTTTGAATTGAACTGTAGCTCTGTCTCCAAGCACCGCTTCTGCATGTGCATCCCATCTCTGTCTCCCAGACCAGGATATCTCCAGAGCTCAGCGGAACCGCAGGAGCCCATGCCATATGCAGGGGCGGAGGCAGAAGCTGGCAGGGGCTGGGTGAGTGGGGCAAGGTCCTAGTTACTCCACTCAGCCCTCTAGTGTTCAGCACCAGACCTTGGCACAGACATGGGTGCCTTGCAGTGTGCACTGGTAAAGGGGCCTGGGAGGGGAAGGGGAGGCCCCTTCTCCTTGGCCGGTCTCTCTAGGTCCCAGACCCCCTCACTGCCTCAAACCATACAGAGGCTTCAGCTCCCCACCCGGGCCTGCTTGGAGTTTGACAAGCACCAAACGTTCCACTTCAAAATTCATGGCATCACAGCATCCAAGGCAGAGGGGCCTTTATCTCGGCTCTGATTGTGAGCCTGCTGTGGCAGGGCCCGGTTTGTGGGCGTGCATGTCTGCAGCCAGCCCTGTGTGCTACCCCAGGAGAATTTTATCTCTGCCCACCTCGCTTCTTCCCTTCTCCTGCCCTCAGAGGGGAACATTATCTTTGTGAGATGGCTCCGAAGTCGTGGGGGCTGCGGAATCAGGAGAGGTGAGAATGGAGAGGATCTGGAAAGATAAATTAATCTGTATAATGAAGAAGATCGGGGAGGGAGCAGGAGAAGCTGGCGAAGAGGGGACGAGGCAGAGGAAAGAGCCAGCCAGCTTCTCATCAGGGAACAGTTTGCAGATGTGGCTTCGTGAAGGTCTCCTGCAGCTTTCCCTTCTGAGAAGTGAGGACTTTAGGAAATGCTACAGGGGCTATATGCCAGATATTAAGGGCTATAAGCCCTTAATTTTTCTTGAAAGAGGGAAATAAAAGCTGAAATTGCTCTCCAGGTTATTTCTGGCTGCTGGACTGTTTCTTCCCATTGTCTGCCATGTTGAGACGGAGCCTCCTGAGGCTCCAGTGGCAACCGGGTCGTCCTGTTCTGTGCGGCTTCAAAAGAGCTGGGGTGGGTTCACACATGACCACGTGCCAGAAATATCATGGGCACCCAAGTAACACATAAGCAACTGCCCTACGGGGACAATCAACTTCACACTGATTGAGCACCTTAGTGAGGGTCAGAAAGCTGGTGGGTCAGTGGTCATCACTACCCCCATCCCACAGACAAGGAGACAGACTCAGAGATGGGAGGAACCTGGCCCCAGGCCATGCAGCCAGGCAATGTGAGGCCGGTGCAAACCCTGTCCACCCGGCTTCACCTCCACACTCTTTCCACTCCTGCAGAGACGCCCTCACTGCCTCCAACCACATAGAGGCTTCAGCTCCCACCCGGGCCTGCTTGGGGTTTGACAAGCACCATGCATTCGACTTCAAAATTCATAGAATCACAGCATCCAAGGCACAGGGGCCTTTATCTCAGCTCTGACCGTCAGCCTGCTGTGGCAGGGCGTGGTTTGTGGGCATGTATGTCTGCAGCCAGCCCTATGTGCTACCCCAGGAGAATTTCATCTCTGCCCTCTGTGTGGTTGGAGCAGAGGAGGCAGAGATGACGTGTGGCTGTGGGACCTGGGCAGGGGTCAGGGAAAGGTCTCTTGGGAGCAGGGCTTTCCATGTACGTGGTGTTTCAAGAGACAGCAGTGTGGGGACATGGGTCGTAGGCCGTCAGGAGGGAAGAGCATTCAAGATGGAGGAGGAAGTAGGAAGAATAGCCAGGAAGTGGGGCCCAGGGCACCTTTGGGAAGCAGAGATGAGTGGCCTTTGGTAGGATCAGCAAGGGAAGATGTGGCTGGAAGTGCAGGGAGTGACTCTATCAGAAAGTAAGAAGCCTCTCCAAGAGCATGGCTTTGCACAGCTCCCCCAGCCAATGGGAGTCCAGTTATGGAACTCATTTGCATATTAAGACTCAGGTCGGTTTTGTGTCTCCCACCTCAGCCCTGCAAGCCCAAGTTCAATAGCTGGCTCCTATCTTGTTCAGGCCCTGTCCTGGCTTCTAAGCTCCGCATCTGCCTGTCCAGGGACCTCAGCCCAAATCTCCCACCTCATAGCCTGGAGCCACCCCTGCGGCCTCCACAGAGACTCTGCGGGCTGGGACCTGGGAGACCACACATCCAGTCATGGACGGCTGGGTCTGCTCTAGGTCTTGTGATGGCCAATACCGTGGGAGGAGGGGTCATGAGGCTGGGGGTGTGGAGTGTCTTGGAGAGAGCCAAGACTCAGGGAGGGCCATGGGCCTGCCCCAGTCACACAGGAGTCAGTGATGGAGTCTCTGGGCTGGAAGTCCACTGCCCTGGACCCCTGGCCGACCTCTCTGACCTCGGGTTTTCTCTGTATCCTGAGCCACCTCAGCTTATATCAAGCTGATCTTGTTTCCCTCTTTTCCAGCAATTTCTCGTCCACCTTCCACCCCAGTGGCTGAGATCATTTCTCAATGACTAGCCAAAGGAGTAATAATTACTGGATGTGACTTACGTAATGAAACAATCGCTGCTGAGCCATCTGGGTGCTGGAGAGCTGGGAGCAGCAGGCATGGCTGCAGACAGGCATGTCTACCTCACTGCCTTGCCCAGGATGAGAGCTCAGAGGGGCTGGCTTGGGGCTTTGGGCCTAGGCAGCCCTGCCTTGACTCTGCTCTTCCGCAGCTGAGTGAGCTTGGGCCTCTCTTCACCTCTGAGAGCCTCCGCAGAGTAAAGTGGAGACCACTGTGCACCCCACAGGGGCGGTAGTGAGACCTGAAGACACCATGCAGCTCCAGCTCCCCGTGTGAACCAGCATCCTCCCAGGGGCCCTGGGTTACACTGGGCTGCAGCTACCCAGGTGCTGGTATGTGGTCATGAGGCTGCCTCAGCAGACAAGGCTGGAGTCCCCTCAACAGCACCCAAGACCCTTCACCAAGAGTGATGTCATCTGATTTGTAATTATGAAAGACTGCCTGTAAGCTCAGCCTTGCCCAACAGCCGACCCTGACCAAGGGAATCAGGGTGGAATCAGGGCTGCAGGAGGTTCAGCCCCTACTGGATGAGGTGGGGGTTGGGCCTGGATTCAAAACTGCAGCTCTGGGGTCAGGAGGATGGAGTGTTAGGGTCCCAGCCCCCTCCTCCCTGGCTGGCTGGCCTTGGGTGAGCTCCTGGACCTCCCAGCCTCAGCTCCCTCCTTAGGGAGACTTTCTGCTTCACAGAGCTTGGTCAGGTGACCTAACCTCTCTGGAACTCAGTTGTTGCATCTCTAAAATGGGCTTTGCGCCTTCCTGCCCTGTGGGGTGGGAGGACTGGATGAGATGGTGTAGGTGAGGGGTTGTGCCATGCCTGACACCTTCTCTTTGATCCTCACTCAATGGTATTTGTGGTGACAGGATCTGGGACTTCCCTCAGCCTAGCAGAGGGTTCAGAATGACCGAGGCCACACCTGTGTGTATTGGGTGAAAACTGCATTAATAAGCTGGCAAAAAGGGAGAGCATTGGGCAGAGTTGGCGAGGACAGTGCCTGGGCAAGAATCACTCTCTCCTCTTGGGGAGCAGCTCCTCTGAGCCCCCTACGCTTGATTTTCTTGTCTCTCATTTGACCCTTGGCTCTCAGTGGGATCCGCTGCCATTTCTGCAGGTATAACAATAACAATAATTACAATAGCCTCAATCCTCGAATCCTTCCTCTCAGCTGAGCTTTGCCCCACAGAGTGCCCCAAGGAGGAAACGGAAGGACCTGTGGGCAGAAAGTCCAGTCCCACCTCTGCCTCCTAGTCCAGCCTTGCGCTGATCCTTCCCTGCCCGGGGCCTCAGTTTCCCACATGCAAAATGTGGGTGTTGAATTTGACACTTGGAGGCACAGACACTTGGAGGCACTTTGAGCTGTTAAATTCTACTGGATGTTCAAAGACTGTGGGGAAGACGGAGAGCAGGAGGGGACAGAGGCCACACTCGAGCCTCGGTTCACAGTGGTTGAGTGGTCACAATATGCCAGGCACTGTCCTGAG